ATTGTTTCTGCCATATTCTCTTTTTTCATGGTTTCTTCTTTCTTTCTGATAAAATAACTGCACAGACCAATTGAAGGGCCAGCTGATCGTCCATGCTTGAAGAAATGGCCTAAAATCGCTGTAATTTCTCGCGTGAATTTATGTGAGATTTAATTTTCGCTGATGGTCGGGAACGCCTCTTGAATGCTTTGTAGTGTGTGCACCTCTTTAGCGTTGTGTTGTGTAGCATGTGCGCAGCTATGACAAGACGACGACAGATGAGAAATCTTGTTGCGTAGTGTGAGCAAAACAGTGATTCGGCTAGTCTTTCAATCATGTAGTGTGAGCTTGTCATTAAACTGCAGGAGAGCACCTTCTACTTTTACAAGAAAACTGGATGCCTCCAACAGAAGAGGGAGAGAATCAGATAACTTGGCAGGATCTAAAATTGGCATTCCGAGAAAGAACAGAACTTGGTTTTGAAGAGAGAACTGGATTCCAACTCTTAAGAATTCTTTTTTTTTTTTTTTTTTTAAAGGATTTTATATTTAGAGAACTGGATATCGTCAATTAGAAGCTTATTTCTCAGAGGGAAGAGAGCTAGATTTAAAACTTGGTTCCACAGGTTTAACGCCGGAGGGAGGGAAGAACTGGGTTGCACAGCAGCACTTGCTTCATCAAGTCTAGAACTGGGTTTCTCAGAAGGAAGAGAGCTAAACTAATTAGAGAAGGATGAACTGGGTTCCAGAGGAACACTAATTTTCTCAGGTTTAATGCTGGACTTTTCAGATGGTATGGAAGAACCTGGTTCCATAAGAGCTCTAGGATGTTCAGCTTTAGAACTGTGTTCCATGTGAGCACTAGGTTTCTCAGGTTTTGAACTGGGTTTCACAGTGGGGTTGGAGGAACTGGGTTGTAAAGGTATACATGCGTGGGAGGAATTGTGTTCCACAGGAGTGCTAGGTTGTTCAGCTTTAGAATTGATTTTTTTTCAGAGGGAAGAATACTAGACTTCTCAGATAGGGAGGAACTGGGTTCCATTTGAGTACTAGGTTTCTTGGGGTTAGGACTGGGTTTCTAAGGGAGGGATGAACTGGGTTCCAGAGGAGCACTCATTTTCTCAGGTTCAGTGCTGGGCTTCTCAGACGGGTGGGAGGAACTGGGTTCCATAGGAGCACTAGGTTTCTCAGGGTTAGGACTGGGTTTCTCAAGGAGGGATGAACCAGGTTCCAGAAGAACACTTGTTTTCTCAGGTTTAGTGCTGGTCTTCTCAAATAGTATGATAGATGGGAGGATGTAACTGGGTTCCATAGGAGCACTAGGTTGTTCAAATTTAGAATTGGGTTTCTCAGATGGAAGAGAGTTAGACTTCTCAGATGGGGAGGAACTAGGTTCCATTGGGAGTACTGGGTTTCTCAGGGTTAGGATTGGGTTTCTCAGATGGTATGAAAGAACCAAGTTCCATAGGAGCACTAGGATGTTCAACTTTAGAATTGGGTTTTTTTCGGAGGGCAGAGAGCTAGACTTCTCAGATGGGGAGGAACTGGGTTCCATGGGAGTACTGGGTTTCTCAGGGAGGGATGAACCAGATTCCAGAGGAACACTTGCTTTCTCAGGTTTAGTGCTGGACTTCTCAGATGCATGGGAGGAACCCTGTTCCATGGAAGCACTAGGTTTCTCAGGATTAGAACTGAGTTCCATGGGAGCAATAGGTTGTTCAGGTTTAGAATTGGGTTTTTCAGACGGAAGAGAGCTAAACTTCTCAGATGGGGAGAAACTAGGTTCTATGGTAGCACTCGGTTTCTCTGGTTTAGAAGTGTGTTCCATGGGAGCACTGGGATGTGCATATTTAGAACTGGGTTTATCAGAAAAGGATGAACTAGGTTCCAAAAGAACACTTATTTTCTCAGGTTTAACGCTGGACTTCTCAGACGGGAGGGAGGAACTGGGTTCCATAGGAGCACTAGGTTGTTCAGGTTTCAAACCAAGTTCCAGAGGAACACTCATTTTCTCAGGGTTAGGACTGGGTTTCTCACGGAGGAACGAACTGGGTTCCATAGGAGCCTTTGGTTTTTCCAGGTTTAGAACTGGGCTACTCAGAGGGGAAGGGAGGAACTTGGTTCTAGAGGAGCACTAGGTTTCACAGATTTAGAGCTGGACTTTTCAGATGGAAGCAAAAAAGTGGGTTTCATTAGAGCCCCAAGTTTCTCAGGTTTACAACGGTTCTTTGAGAAGAGAATATTTGATTTCACTTGGAGAGGAGAACTCTCTGGCTTAGAACAGTGTTCCATTGGAGCACTGGGTCTCTCAAGTTTAGTGCGGGACTTCTTATATGGAAATGAAAAATGGGGTTTATTAGAGCCCCAGGTTTCACAGGATTAGAACTGATCTTTGAGAAGACAACACTTGATTTCACTGGGAGAGAAGAACTTGAGGTTTTAAGCTTAGAATAGTGTTCCATAGGAAAATTAAGTCTGTCAGGTTTATAACCAGACTTCTCAGAGAGGTGGCAAGAACTTAACTGCATGGGAGCTCTAGGTCTCTCAGGTTTAGAAATTGACTTAAAACATGGTTTCCTGATTTCAGACTTGGACTTCTTTAAATTGAGGTAAGAATGGTGATCCACATGAACACTGTAACCAGGTTTCTTATTTCTAGAGTTGGTCTTTGACAACACAACACTTGTTTTTAATGGGAGGGAAAAAATGGATCTGTCAAAGGAAAAGGAGCATTAAAAATGCCAGGGGCTTTTTAATGCTTCTGCAGATTAGTCTATAATACTGGAGAAAGCTTTCTGTTTTCTACAAACACTTGGGTGCATTGGGAATGTAACATGCAAAACCATTTTCCAATACTCCTGTAATTTTTATTTTACTGTTAAATATTACAATAGTTTTAAACGTAATTTTTATATTTATTAATAACAATAATAATAATAATTAATAATAAAATAATGTAGTATTATTATTATTAGTTTATATCCATACACTGAAAAAAAGGTGTAGAAAAAACTCAGAAATGGGTAGTAATTAGTAAATTACTATTTCACAAATTTAATTGTGAAAAATTTAAGTAGAAAGAATGGAATAGTATATTCTTGTAAAACAAAGTCCAATAATATTTGGTTTATATACAACTTTGATATTAATATATAAATCACAAAATTTGAGCCAAATTGTGCAGTCCTACAAACATGCACAGCAAACCTGTTTTTTTTTTTTTAGATTGATTTTTAATTGCGATGTAACTGGTCCTGGAACTATTTACTACATATGCTATATAAACAGACTTCTAAGAATCATTGGCCAGCCTAGAAAATACAAAAACTGAGTATGAGTTAGAAGAACAAACCTCAGAAAGGAACACCTGGGTTCCTTAGGATATGATTTTTTTACGGAGTGTTGCAAAAATCTGTATTCCTTCAGAACAGCAGGTTTTTGAGAGGAAATAGAATAACTTTACTTTACATGAGCACAAGAACTAGGTTTCCGGGGAAGTGAGAATCGTCATGTTCAGCCTGTCCTGAAGAGAACATTTGAATAACTGTTAGTTAAAAAGGTGACAACATAGTACAGCGACAGTAATTTCTCTTCAGTTTTAATACAACATGGTAACTAAACACATCATCATCATTCAAGCATACATCTTTATGCTAATGAAGATTGATCATTTACAATCAAACCTTTGTTTTTGCAGTACAGGTGCATCTCAAATTAGAATGTCGTGGAAAAGTTCATTTTTTTCAGTAATTCAACTCAAATTGTGAAACTCGTGTATTAAATAAATTCAATGCACACAGACTGAAGTAGTTTAAGTCTTTGGTTCTTTTAATTGTGATGATTTTGGCTCAAATTTAACAAAAACCCACCAATTGACATTCTAATTTATTGCGATGCACCTGTAGTTGCATAGCTTCACTCCAATCAGACATGGGAGGCACATTCAATCAGAGAACCGAGTACTAGGAGAAAACTCAAGGTTAACACATTCTTTTTAAAAAGAGAAACACATTTTTAATATCTATATACTAAAGTTAATTTACCTTCACTCCATGAATGATACAAATATAATTAAATAATAAGTCTAGAAAAACCCAATTTGCCCACAAGTTCAACCATTCAGTTTGCTAGTCTAACCGTGTAACTAATCTAGTGACACAGATTTGTATCACCTGGGCTCCCAGTTAACAAACAACTGTGACACTGTTTCATCATTAATATCTTGTTTTAACTCATGCACTGATGGATTTCGCCTCACTCTGTTAACCACTTGTGGTTTTTAGTTTTGTAATAGACTGACATAAAATGAGTCTAACTAATATGGACAAGTCTTATGTTACAAGTATATGTTTTTCAAAGGGTGTCCTCAGTCTGTTTTGAACAATTCCTTCAAGCAATTTAAGAGTGTTCTTGATCAATTTGTAATCTGTTTTTTTTTTTTTTTATTGTATTTTGGAAGTCAGTGCACGAATGGGCATGTAAAGTGTTTGTTATTGGGGAGTCTAGGAGCTATAAACTTGTCTTTAGTTGTCTCGGGGGGACATTCAAAAAAATTTTTATTTTTCATAATCTCCATTCGAGACATAATCCATGCACTCACAATGTCTTGCATAATTGACTGTTTGCTGTAAATGTCACAATTATATGCATGTACTCGGAGTTAAATCAAGCCCTGAATAGACAGGTCACTGAACCCAATCTGAAGCGAGTTGGATTGGTTTTGCTCTGAAACATGTTCCACACACTTTGACAGGCCTTTCACTCACAAAAGGACCAGCCAATAACTAACTTTCATTAACAGAAAAACTCACAATGCAAAGCATTCGAAAACAATCTGATATTTTATTTTGTATGGTGGCACACAAAAACATTTACTTATGTGAACAGGGGGAGAATTGGATTCCAGATACAAACTAGAATTTTCAAAGAGTTAAAAGAAAAACTAGTCAGGGAACTGGGTATTTTACATTTAGAAGTCAAGTTCCTAGAGGGAAGAGACCAACATTTAAAAATTAGTTTTTACAGGTTTAATGCTGGTCTCTAACGAGAGGGGGAAGAACTGGATTGTATAGCATCACTAGCTTTCTCAGGTTTATAACAGTTTCTCAGAGGGAAGAGAGCTAAACATCTTGGATGGGAGGGATGAACTGGATTCCGTTTTGCAGATTTAATGCTGGGCTTCTAAGATGGTATGGGAAAAACTAGCTAAAAGAGCACTAGGTTGTTTGGCTTTAGAACTGGGTTTCTCAGTGGGGAGGGAGAAACTGGGTTCCGTGGGAGCACTAGGTTGTTCAGGTTTAGAACTGGGTTTCTCAGTGGGGAGGGAGAAACTGGGTTCCGTGGGAGCACTAGGTTGTTCAGGTTTAGAACTGGGTTTCTCAGTGGGGAGGGAGAAACTGGGTTCCGTGGGAGCACTAGGTTGTTCAGGTTTAGAACTGGGTTTCTCAGTGGGGAGGGAGAAACTGGGTTCCGTGGGAGCACTAGGTTGTTCAGGTTTAGAACTGGGTTTCTCAGTGGGGAGGGAGAAACTGGGTTCCGTGGGAGCACTAGGTTGTTCAGGTTTAGAACTGGGTTTCTCAGTGGGGAGGGAGAAACTGGGTTCCGTGGGAGCACTAGGTTGTTCAGGTTTAGAACTGGGTTTCTCAGTGGGGAGGGAGAAACTGGGTTCCGTGGGAGCACTAGGTTGTTCAGGTTTAGAACTGGGTTTCTCAGTGGGGAGGGAGAAACTGGGTTCCGTGGGAGCACTAGGTTGTTCAGGTTTAGAACTGGGTTTCTCAGTGGGGAGGGAGAAACTGGGTTCCGTGGGAGCACTAGGTTGTTCAGGTTTAGAACTGGGTTTCTCAGTGGGGAGGGAGAAACTGGGTTCCGTGGGAGCACTAGGTTGTTCAGGTTTAGAACTGGGTTTCTCAGTGGGGAGGGAGAAACTGGGTTCCGTGGGAGCACTAGGTTGTTCAGGTATAGAACTGGGTTTCGCAGTGGGGAGGGAGCTAGACTTCTCTGATGGAAGGGAAGAACTAGGTTTCACAGGTTTAGAACTGGTCTTTAGGAAAATGCTTGATTTCACTGGGAGAAGAGAACTTGGGGTCTCTGGCTTAGAATGTTGTTGCATATGAGCAATAGATTTCTCAGGTTTAGAGCTGAATTTTTCAGATGGAAGTAAAAAAATGGGTCCCATCAGAGCTCCAGGTTTCTTAGGTTTAGAACTGACCTTTGAGAAGAGAATACTTGATTTCACAGGGAGAGGAGAACTTGGGGTATTTAGCTTAGATCGGTGTTCAGTAGGAGCTTTGGATCTCTCAGGGTTAGAGCCAGACTTCTCAGAAAGGTGAGAAAAACTTGATTGCTTAGGAGCACTAGGTTTATCAGGTTTAGAGCTTGACTTTTCAGATGGGAGACAAAAACTGGGTTTCTTCACAGAAAAGGAGCGGGACTTCTCAGAAGCAAAGGAAAAACTGGGTTCCTTAGGATGTGCTTTTTTTACAGATGATTGCCAAATGCTGTTTTCCAATAGAGCAGTAGGTTTTCTCAAGGAAACGGAAAAACTTGACTTCACATGAGCACTGGAACTAGGTTTCTGAGGGAAGGGAGAATTGTCATGTTCAGTCTGTCCTGAAAATAATTTTTGAATAACTGTTAGTTACAGAGATGACAATATAATACAGCCACAGTCATTTCTCTTCAATTTTAAAAACAATATGGTAGCTAAATACATCATCATGTAAACATGTATATCTTTATGTTAAAGGGGTCATATGATGCAATTTCATTTTTTCCTTTCTCTTTGGAGTGTTACAAGCTCTTGGTGCATAAAGAAGATCTGTAAAGTTGCAAAGACTAAAGTCTCAGGTTTAGAACTGGGTTTCTCAGTGGGGAGGGAGAAACTGGGTTCCGTGGGAGCACTAGGTTGTTCAGGTTTAGAACTGGGTTTCTCAGTGGGGAGGGAGAAACTGGGTTCCGTGGGAGCACTAGGTTGTTCAGGTATAGAACTGGGTTTCGCAGTGGGGAGGGAGCTAGACTTCTCTGATGGAAGGGAAGAACTAGGTTTCACAGGTTTAGAACTGGTCTTTAGGAAAATGCTTGATTTCACTGGGAGAAGAGAACTTGGGGTCTCTGGCTTAGAATGTTGTTGCATATGAGCAATAGATTTCTCAGGTTTAGAGCTGAATTTTTCAGATGGAAGTAAAAAAATGGGTCCCATCAGAGCTCCAGGTTTCTTAGGTTTAGAACTGACCTTTGAGAAGAGAATACTTGATTTCACAGGGAGAGGAGAACTTGGGGTATTTAGCTTAGATCGGTGTTCAGTAGGAGCTTTGGGTCTCTCAAGTTTAGAGCCAGACTTCTCAGAGGGGTGGAAAGAATTCAATTGCATAGGAGCAATAGGTTTATCCGGTTTAGAACTTGACTTTTTAGATGGAGGTGAAAAAGTGAGTATCATCAGAGCTCCAGGTTTCTTAGGTTTAGAACTGGTCTTCGAGAAGAGAATACTTGATTTCACAGGGAGAGGAGAACTTGGGGTCTCTAGCTTAGATCGGTGTTCAGTAGGAGCTTTGGATCTCTCAGGGTTAGAGCCAGACTTCTCAGAAAGGTGAGAAAAACTTGATTGCTTAGGAGCACTAGGTTTATCAGGTTTAGAGCTTGACTTTTCAGATGGGAGACAAAAACTGGGTTTCTTCACAGAAAAGGAGCTGGACTTCTCAGAAGCAAAGGAAAAACTGGGTTCCTTAGGATGTGCTTTTTTTACAGATGGCCTAATGCTGCTTTCCACTAGAGCAGTAGGTTCTCTCAAGGAAACAGATGAACTTGACTGCACATGAGCACTGGAACTACGTTTCTGAGGGAAGTGAGAATTGTCATGCTCAGTCTGTCCTGAAAAGAATATTTGAATAACCGTTAGTTACAGAGATGACAATATAAAACAGTGACAGTAGGTTCTCTCCAATTTTAATACATGGTAGCTGAACACATCGTCATCATCATGCAAACATGTATATCGTTATGTTAATGAACATAGATAATTTACAACCAAACCTTTGTGTTTTTGCAGTAGTTGCCCAGCATTACTCCAATCAGACACATGGGAGACACGTTCAGTTGGAGTACAGAGCACTAGAAGAAAACTCAAAGTTAACAAGAGAAACACATTTTGTATATCTATACACTAAAGTTAACTTACCTTCACTCCATGAGTGATACAAATACAAGAAAATAACAAGTCTAGAAGAACCCATTTTGCCCACAAGTTCTACCATTCAGTTTGCTGGTCTAACCAGGCATTTTAAAGATAAGCAGTGACACAGATTTGCATCACCTGGGCTCCCCGTTAACGAACAATTGTGGCTGTGGCTGTGTTCGAAATGGCATACTTGCTTACTGCTTACTGCCCAGTACACAGTGCATACTGCCTACTATTTAAAAAAAAAAATAGTGTGTGAAACAGTATACAACAAGCAATAAATGTTTCAGAGTAGTATGCTTAAGTGCTGTCACATGACAAACACTGAACATTAATTCAGCACATCTGTCAAGGTTGTTACCTTAGAAACAAATGAGCTAACTGTTCTTTTTACAAAGGCTTGTTAATAAGGCTTCATACTAGTAAACAATGCTATATTGCCCAATTGAACTCATTTCATAATTGATTAACTTTACATATTGGACAGAACTAAATCAACACTGAGCTGTCTTTATTGATATTTTTGGTAGTTACACTAATGGTGCTTTTCCACTGCATGGTGCGGCACAGTACGGTTCACTTTTGGGGGGTTTTCCACTGGGTACAGTACCTGGTACCTGGTACTTTTTTTAGTACCACCTCGGTTGGGGTTCCAAGCGAACCATACCGTTACCAAAACGTGACGTGTAAACTCTGCTGATCACGGATTGGCCGGAGAGAATCGTCTCTACCTGCCTCACTGAACTTGCGACACAAACACAACAGAACCGCTAGATTTAAATCAGCACAGCCAGCGAAGGATCGAACGCAACTGTTTTGAACGAGCGCACCTTTTTTTAACAACCAAAAATTTGTAGTTTACATGTATATGTATATACGTACAAATACAAGGGTTACATTTATAATTACTATTCCCCACCTCCAGTTCACTCACGCGTATGAAGATGAAACATCACATGGAGCGCATTGCATTCTGGGAAACAGTATCCCATGCAGCGTCTTCAGATGCATACATCAAATTTCAGCCAATGTAGCAGGTAATCCGGGCATTCCATGCATACAGAAAATTCACATACTATTCACAGTATACACACAGCATACTGCAATATAGTATGGTAGTATGCCTTACCGAACAGCTTCTGTATTGATTTCAGTGTACTTGAGTTATATTTAGCAGATTCTGGCGAATATAGTAGGTCATCCGGGTATTACATGCATACAGAAAATTTGCATACTATGCACAGCATACATACTGGATACTGCAGAAATAGTAAGAGTAGTATGATAGTATGGCATTTCGAACACAGCCATTGTTTCATCCTGAGAAGTATTCCAGAAAGCACGGTTAACTTACCATCACATATACCCTGAACTCTCAGTTGATTAACCTAAACCTTGCTTAAGCTGGCTGCACACTAGACAATTTTAAAATCCTAAACGATTTTAAAACCATGGGAGACCACAGACATGAAGACAGATTGTTAGCCTTATAATCCTCTGAACGCGCACACTAGACGAATCCAGCAGACCGCGAGACCACACACTTGATGATTGTATGAACGATTTCACAGTGACACTAGATCTCATGGAGACTCGCGAGATGGAGAACAATCGGCGTTGTCAGCTGGCTCTCCCGGTACGCATTCTGTTGTACAGTTAAAAACAAAGTATAACAAAGAATATGGGCGATGTATTCTGCTTTCTTGGCATTTTTATGGCAGCCAAGTTTCAGCTATAGAAGCACGCAACATCCGGTAAGTGACGCTTGCTCGCTCTCATTGGCTATCGTGGGTATCACGTCAGAGGCAGCCAGATCAAGAGTAAGAAATATCAAACATGTTTGATATTTACGATTTAAGTTCGGCGACACTCCGTCTCGATCAGGAGCAGTTAAATAATCATAATGGCACCACACAATAGAGGACGAAGAAGAAAAAATCGTTTGCGACAAGCCTCAAATTGGGCCACGCCCCCGATCTTTCAGAAATGCAAATCGGGCTTAAAATCGGCCTTAAAATCCTCTAGTGTGCAGCCAGCATTACTTGAGATATGGTGCTTCCAAAAACATGTCTGGGAGTAAGTTCAGTCAACACAGAGTATGTTCAAGGTTAACACACAAGACATTCTCAACAGAGCGACGAATCAACGAGTCACCATGGAAACCGATGCTAAGAAAAAGCACGCCATGCTGCATGTATTCAAAGATGCATATTATGCAGAAAAGTTGCATATTCGAACACAGGTTCAGGTTGATTATCAGGTTCCTTCCCAAGGGGTCGATGTTTGGCTACTTAGTTTGGTCCAGTTAGCCCTTGCTGGAAGATAACTACACCATTTTGGTGCTAAAAGTACCTTTCTCTATGGACATTTAGAACAGGCTGTGCATTCTCTGATTGAATACTATTTTTGCAAGCAACCTATTAATTGCATATTTCATTATATTAAAGTGTATGTTTTCCTTGTGCCAGCTTTTTACTCTGTTTACCTGCAGCTTCTGAAAAATCACTTACAGCATCTTAATTTCATTAAACTTATATGATGCTATGGTAAACTTCATATCTATTAGTGCACGAATGGGCATGTAAAAGTGTTTGTTAATGGGGAGTCTAGGTGCTATAAATTTGTCTTTGGTTGTCTCATATGGTCTAAAAAAACTTTAAGAGTACGAACTGAATTTATTTTCCTTGCAAAATCAGTATTTCTTCTTGCTGTATAAATGTATTTTAATTCAATATTTTCCATATTTTTTAACACAGAAAAAGTCACAATGCAAAGCACTCCAAACAATCTGATATTTTATTTTGTATGGTGGCACACAAAAACATGGGCAAAGTCAAATTTAATTACCAACACGAGTGGCATGTTCTTCCAGAACCATCACTTGTGTGAACAGGAGGAGAACTGTATTCCAGATACAAACTAGAATTTTCAGAGGGTTAAAAAAACTAGTCAGGGAAACTGGGTATCTTACATTTAGAAGTCAAGGGAAGTACTTAGAGAGAAGAGAGCAAAATTTTAAAACGTATTTTAACAGGTTTAATGCTGGACTTCTAACGAGGGAGGGAAGAACGTCTCAGGTTACTTATGTAACCATGGTTCCCTGAGTAGGGAACGAGACACTGCG